CCTCACTAGCCACTTATGGCCAGTATCTATTAAATTGGAGAGTATAGCTCTAGTAGACCTAGCTATGTGCTTAAGAAAATATGTGCAGGACTTACAAACTTGAAATTACAAAAACTTCTAGAGAACATAAGAAAGGATTTCAGTAAAAGGATAAATTCATGGCATATTTCTAGATGGAAGTCTCAATATGCAAAGATATCAATTTTCTCCCCATAACTAATTCAACACAAGACCAATCAAAATTCCAATGACATTTTTTAGAAAGACTTGAAAAAATGATTTCAAAGACTAGAAACATAAATGTCAAAGAATATCAGGAAAATTTGAAAATGACAAGTAAAAAGGTTTGGAGTTTGGTATATCAGATATCTAAGTATCATCAAACATTTACATATTTTATCAATTTACAAAAATTATAATAACACAATACTGGCAGGTCAATAAAGAGACTGAACAACTTATAGGCAATAATTTAGTATACGATAAAGTGGGAATTATAAATAATTTGGAAAGGAATATGCAAGTAAATATATGGTATTGGGGCAACTTATAAAAATATACAGTGGCATATCTCTTTCATATCTTATACCAAAATAAAATATTGCATGAGTTAAATGTTTAAATAAAAAACTATAAGGCAGTGAAGTGATAGAAAATCTATAGTTGAATATTTACATATTTACATAATTTTGGAATAGGGAATGTCTTTTTTTATTATTATTATTAGTTAGGGAATGTCTTTTTAAGAAATCATAAAGAAAGAGAATAGATTTGGTGGCCACATATTCTATTCATCAAAAACAAATTAAAAGCTAATTTCAAACTGGTAAAATGATTCCAACATATATGAACACTTAAAATACTAAAACATAAATAGTTTTTATAGATCAATAAAAAAAAAGATAAGCAATCCAAAAGAAAAAATATGGGATAAGGATATAACAGACCAATTTACAACAGAAAAAACAAATTTTCACCTATCAAATTGGTACAAATGAAAAGACGATCATGATTGACAAGGATGTAAATAAATGGGCATTTGACCATGACATGGACAATCTTTCTTTAGGAAAACTCGGCAACATGTATGAAAAGCCTTAAAAACATGTATATCTTTCCATTTATACGAGGCACCTATACTAGGCAAATTCAGAGACAGAAAGGAGATAGACATTACTAGGAGCTGAGGCAGGAGGGTTGGGGAGTTAGGGTTTAATGGGTACCAATTTTCTGTTTGGGATGATACAAAGATTGCAGAAATGATAATGGTGATGGTCACACAATATTGTGAATGTACTTAATGCCACAGAATTGTACATGCATTTAAGAATGGTTAAAATAGTAAAATATGCATATTTTACCACGATTGTAAAAAATCCCATTGCATGACTCTAAACATTTATTAAACCATTCTCCTACTATTGAACATTTAGGCTTTCCCCAAATTTTTAACAATTAAAAATAACATTATGATTGAAAAATGTATATCCTTTGATAAGCATGTTTGTTTGTTAGTATTTATCCCGTAGTAATAATGCAGAATATATGTAAAGATATACATTTTCCTCCTGGCACTGCTTGTATTAACAAGTGGGAAATCTAAATAACATACAGGATTGGTCAAATAAATTATTGTACACAATGGAAAAGTAGGCAGCCATCAAAAAGTGTACTACAGACATACCTATATTGATACTAAGGGGGAAATGATTTAAAATAGTATGGGTGGTAAACTTCAAAGGGAGTAAATGTTTGTGCACACATAGGTAAGTATATGGGAGAATACATAAGTTTTTGCCCGTGGTCATGAGACCGAGGGAGTGGGACTTTGTTACTTTTTTGTGCTCTTTTTCTTACCTGTCAGAGTTTTCCTGCAATGAGCATGAACGTCTTTGTAAAAAAAAAAAGTATTTGTAACATATTTTACAAATGTATTTTAAAAAAAAACAACTAATGAAAGAAACTTAACTTTGCAAATAACATTTAAAAACCCTCCTTGTTAAGTTTCCTTTCTCATATGTAACATTAGGCCGTCTCTTACTGTACAAAGTGTCCTCCTCCCCTCCAAAAAGCAAAAAGCAAAAGGAAAGGCCAACGGACGGACTGTCTGTAGGTTATTTATTACTATATGAGACCAGCAGATAATTCTTTTCCTGAACTAAATAACTATAAGTTAGATTCTATTAAGAAAGCCCTTTGGGCTTTGGGGTTACTTCTTAGCTGTCCATTGTAGGTATATGTGCTAAGCATCTAATGCAAATACTTTCTACTTTGGCTAATGAACGGCTAATAATGGGTTTCTTTTACCTGAAGAGTAGGGCTACACATGATGTACATGAGACATTCAATAATCTGAACGAAACCTGCTGAAATGAGAGCCAGAAAACCACAATGCCTCTGACAGCATCCCTGAAGCTTATGCAACTGTAGGATGAACATAGTGCATTTGGAGGTATAAGGCACAGACCCAATCTTACAGGCATTTTTGTTTGGGTGACCCACACAGTAATTGTAAATCTGAAATAGGAAACTTGAAATCATTGAAGTCACAATAACATCATATTCAATTAGGTTAGAAAAGTGCAATTTCTGTCATCATGTCATAAAAAGATGTGTTTTTCTCTCAGATCTCTTATACAGAAAAGTTCCCTATATTGTTACAGATAGGGCTGTTTTCAATCAGTTACAAGGAGCAATTCAATTACTAGATGGTTTAGTGCAGTAACTGACTCCAGACTAATTTAATTTCTTCAGGTCTCTAAAGATCAATTGATCTGATTTGTCCCATCCCTAAAGGCTGTTTAGGAAAAATTCAGACTTAAATATCTGGAAATGAAATCCAAACCCTTGGCCAATTTCACACTACTTAGGTCATCTTGCAAACTTTCAGCTGGTCATATAAGATGCTCTTTTGGCCCTCAGACTATTGAAAGCAACTTAGCTTCGTGTACGTGGAGTGCTCCCCACCTCAGGACGCTTATTCAGTAAGTGGAAAATGTGCTGCATGTTTTATCAAATCTGTCATTCTAAAGGACAGTCAGTCTGGGGACTCTTATCTCATGAGCACATGCGCAATTCAGGGGCTATTTTTACTCTAGGAGTAGCTTATTAAGACTATTAGAAGTAGACGCAGATGGGGCAAAAAACTATGCTCACCTAATAAGATGAGGAACTTACAATTATTTTAGATTTACAAGCTGCTTTGATGAATGTCATCTTCCTTGGTTCTTATAATAAGCCTCTGAAATGAGTAGAATTATTTTGTAGATGAGGAAACGGGCTCAGGTGAGGTAACTTCTCCAGGATCACTCAGCCGGTAAAAGGCAAAGCTGGGACTCTAACCCATGACCTTTGTCTCTCAATGTAACATGTGCACCCCCTGATCTGAGACAGAAGGTACAATGTACATTATAAAAGCACATCATTACTGACCCACTGCCCACTGTCTTCATTTTCGCTTGACACCTGCCAAAGCTGAGAAAAAGCTAACTGGTGATAACCCACCTGCACAGACCCTGAATCAGTGCCTCTGGCGCTCCAGGAATAGGTGATAAAGGTCCTGCCTAAATGGGGGCAGCCTGTGTAGATGGCTTCATTTGTCGCCCACACAGCTGATGGCTGCATTTTCACTGACTTGGGTATCCAGGCCTATTTGCCCAGCTATGTCCCATGTGCCCATTTGGCTTTTCTCTGCATTTGCAGTGGATCTTCAACCACAAGCTCAATTTCTTTCCTTGATCGCAACAGCCCCAAGCACTTGTCAAGCTCTCCAATTTATTAATCTTTCTTTTCTACTCACATCCCACAGTTCCTGCCCAACGTTTAGCCTCTCCTGCTGGCTTTTCTGTCTCCCCACCGAGCCTCTACATCTGCTCCCCGAAACCAAAACCAGCCCCCCGTGCCCTGCTATCTGGGAAAGCTTAGGGAAGGATCCGACAGATGCTGCTAACACACGCAATTATCCCTTAATGTGAGTTGCCAGGACAGGTTGGGGAGAAGTGCTGTGGTCAGAAGATTGTGACTACAGGGGGAAGTGTGGCAGTTGGCAGGGAGCTCACACAAAGATTTGGAGATAAGATAAACCAGAGGGCTGGTGCAAAGATACCCCACCTATCGATAAAGACTCCAGGCCACAGAAAAGAACAAGCACCGAAGATGAACAGGGTCTGAGGCTCTGATGCATAACATGGTGATTAGAGTTAATAACACTGTATTGCATAACTGAAATTTGCTAAGAAAGTAGAACTTCAATGTTCTCACTCAAAAAAAGAATAAGTACAGAAAGTTACATAGTATGTGTAAGAGACATAAATAATCACACTGAAAAATCTTCTCTTTGAAAAACACACTTTTTGACATTCCTATTGGGCAAACTGTGGATCTCACTATAGTCATTACTCACATAGACGGTCTCAACTGGGTGAACCATTTTAATTAAGTTAAAAGTGGGGTAAGTTACGGGCATATCATTGTCACTTGTCTTTTTAAAGGTCCTGAGATCTGCTATCTCTCCTGTTAAATATAAGCAGTCTAAGCTACGGGGAAAATATGTGCCCTGAATTAAATTACATCTCCCTGTCTCAAAATTCCCAACTACCATTATATCCTTCGTGTTAGCAAATGCACCCACTTCAGAAGGCAAAGGCTATCAAGATTCCACTCCTCTGCAGGTCACCACACGAGACACGGAGTTTACAATCAAGAGGATTGAGTCTTTGGTAACAAAGAAGCCCTATATTTCACAGTTGAGTAAATGTCCTGAGCAAAGAAACCACTTCACTCAGAAATTGAGCAGAGAATAGAGCCAGCTGCAGCAGCTGTCACAGCTTAAGCACTTGCCTATCTACAGGGTTTATAGCTGGAAGGGAAGGGGGGTCAAGAGAATTGGAGACTATATACAGTAAGGTTATGGTTCTTTGGCGTTGAAAGGAGTATGTTCTTACAAACTCGCTCTCTCTTTATCTTATCTGGACAAAAAGTAAACAGAAAATTCTCATTACCTCTCAATGTCAGTGAGCCTGGAGGAGTCCCGAAATCCTTTGGCAAAAGGGTTGCTATCTATTTTCAGCTTGGTTATCTGGAAAGGGAAGAACGGGTAACAAAAGAATATCATTTCTGAGCTCAAGGAAATAAAATCGGAAATATAGAGTTAGTTCATTTTCCATCATGGCCGTTCCCAAGAATAGCTAATGTCTCTCAGTACCGTGAGAAAGGTTGAAATTGCTAGAGAAGTTCACAGGAGGGATGGATTTGGTGGGAGGGTCAGGGAAGGCCGACAAGAGAAGGAGGTATCTGAGGACGGGCTGGTCCTAGAGAATAGGCTGGAGGTCCATGGATAGAGACAGTTAAGGATGGGGGCCTTTCATGAACAGTGTGGCTGCAGCGTGAAGTATTTAAGAGAGCAGTGAAAGGGCAGGGATCCACTGGGGAGCTGGGGAGCTGTCTAAAAGGCCCGCATTGGTGGGGAATGGGGAATAAAAACAAGAACGTTGTCTCATGCTGACTTGTCAGCATCATTCGTTAGCACCACGGACACACACCATGATGGATAAAATAGACAATAATAGCTTCATGTTCAACACTCAATTGAGATACATGACATCAACACATGATATAAGCCATATATCGTGTATTTACGTCACGATCCCTCTTCCATCTGGTCCCCTTCCCATCTGACTAAATTAGAATCAAAATAATAGGTCTTTGTGTTATCCTCCCATACAATGTTACTGATACACTCTATGCTTACACGGAAAAAAAAATACTTCCTAATGAGAATCATGGTCTGAAGTATTAAGAGTCTATGCTATGCTAATCATAATTCCCACAGTATTAATATTATTGCAGAAAGATCCATTAAATCCTATGCACTGCACCTCCAAAGAAACATACATTAGGTTGCAAAGCAAAAATAAGTAAATAAAGGAAACATTGATTCAAAGATACTTGACATGTACAATTCCTGAGTGTTAGAGCTGAAAGGAACCTAGGAGGACTAAGACACAGCTAGTCAGTATCTGAAAAAACAAACCAAAACCACAGAGTCATAGCTCATTCATATCAATATGAGAACCCATGTTAATCTTGAGAGAGAGACACACACACAATATTATAGTCAACCTGGAAAAAAGAGTTATCGGTGGAGGCATGTTCTCCTCTTTCAAAGTAAGGAGTACACATAATCAAAATGATTTGAAATGCTGTTTTTTCAAAAAGCAACTTTTCCTCTGATGAGAGTGTATCTACTGTTCATTTTAAGCTATTATCACCAAAAAATTGCTTTTATTATTACAAAAGAAAGGCATGTTTCCCCTTTCATTCTTCAAGTCAGTTAACCAATGTACAAGTTGCAAAGATGCTATTTACCTTGCTTAAAATAGAACTTCCCACACTGTCCTGAGCAGAGAG